TTTAAAAATTAGTACATATAGTATTTTTTGCCCCCTTTAAGTTTTTAAGTATTATATATATTATGTGAAACTTTAAGTTATTCATTTTTAACCCTATACAATCTTTATAATTTTTTATACTTATATAATAACTTAAGGCTGGCACAATTTATAATATTTTTATTATAATCATCATTTCAAATACAAGGAGAATCATGTTCAAAAAAAAAAAAATACAAGGAGAATGTTAGGACTTAATTAAATATTTTGTAAAACATAAAAATATTATAATATAATGTATTAACTAAATGAATTTTTTTTTTTGAAAATAGGTACTGGATAACTAAATGGATTTATTACATATTGAATTACTTAATTAGGAATCAAGACTCTTAATTAAACCCAAACTCAAAAATTTTCTCTTTTTTAAGCTTTTGAATTGTTTAGTATTTTATTTTTTAAATTTTTGTTATTTTATTTTAAAAAGTGATTTTATTAACAAAAAACTTTAGTTGATAAAAATGTTTATCCTTTATTTAATCAATGATTTCAATATCAAAGTATTAAATTACATGTTTCCTCTTTCAGATTGTTTAGTTCTTTGGATGGAAAAAAATATAATTTTTAAAGACAAATCGGTAAAAAAAAAAAAAAGAAGAGAAGACATTTTGAGATGGAAATGGTAAAATTTTGAGACATTTTGAGACCTAAAGAGTAAAATTTTGAAATTTTTTGAATTAATTGATCCATTATTTAAGCATTATCATAATAAGGCATTTTGTTTCTTATTTTAATGAAATAATTCATTTAATAAAAAAATTATTAAAGGTATGAGAAGAAGAAAATGTATTTATTTCTTAATTTTGTTAAGATTCTAATAAGAAAATATCAATAAAAAGGACATTTAAAATTAAAATTTTTCTTAAAAAATTAATTACTATCTTTAAAAAAAAAAAGATTTAAGCTTAAGTCATTAGTAAAATATTCCACCCCCGGCCCTCAATTTTCTAGCTTCATCCTTGCAGTTGTCGTTACACAAATAATTATTAAGGTCACACAAAAATATAATAAGTGTATTGAATTTGATTATTAAAAATAGTTAATAACTATAGTTATTAATTAATAAAACAATTTATATTTATTACTTAATATTTTAAAATTAACTTATAAATTTATGTTTTTAGTATTCCTAACTAATTAAACCATAATAAAATTAAACAAACCAAACATACTTAAATTTTTTATGTGACCTTAACAATTATTTGTGTGATATTAAACTTAACCTTACTTCCCCCTTCCAAAAATATTTTTTTGTTTTTTTATTCAAAAGTTTTCTCAAATTAACTATTTTTTTTATTTATAAGGTAAGTATATATTACGTTTTTTCCTACCATATTTTTCTCACTCTATTTTAATTTTTCACCTTATTACACTAAAACATTTTAATTATCTTTATTTTTTTATTACAGATAATTATAAGTAAAGTGAAATGCCATTAATGCTTTTTTTTTTTAATATAGAGAAAAAAAATGTCCCGTCGTTGAAAAATAGTGAGACTAAAAATATAGGTTAAAACCCCATTTTAGTCCCTGAACTATTGTATGGACCCTCGATTTGGTTCCTAAACTAAAAAAATCCCTGATTTGGTCCATACTGTTTACCATTTTTACCTCGATTTGGTCCTTCCATTAAATATCCGCTTATGTGTCTTGTTACTTGACGGGAAAAAGGATGACATGTCAAATATTAATACACGTGGCAGACAATAAAACCAAAAAAAGTGATGACATGGACAAAATAATAATATAAAAAAATATTATAAAAAATAA